GTTATTTTGTCGATTCGAGCCAATTTTTCCGCTTACCTGTTCACACACGCACGCTCGAGCGGAAGCGATATTCCGACGCCCGCGTGCGACGTTGTGCGTAGGTGCGCGCTCGGCCGATTTGTCACCTTGCACGGTCGGTGTCTCTGTATGCGATCCGTATCCTGTGTCCACAACGATCTTGCCTTCTCACTTCTCCTTATTTGTTTCTACACCGCTTACGTCGCACGAAATCATCGGAGAATCACTCGTCCGCACGATCCTGCAAATTGGACCAAGTGTCGGCGATTGAAAATGCACTGAGTGAAAAATTCCTTAGTTGCCAGAACAAAAGCTCTTTTGTTATTTGAAGATCAGTCAGGGAAACAGATCGAACAGTTACTTTATGTTCTGTTGTTTCACGATCTGTTGAGGAAACAGGTCGAAAAATTACCGTTGCTAATCGCTCATTATCATTTGTTATTTTCACAAAGTATCACCAAGCCAATACAGAAGTGTTTGGTAGAGTAGCAAATTGAAGGCGCATGGGAAAAAGATCTGATTGCATCAACCAGAAGGGGAAACAACCAAATGCGTTCTGGTTGAAGGAAACAGAATTCTTATGACCCAATTATGTTTCTTATAACCAGACATTCTGTTTCCTTCAATCAAAATACATCTGGCTGCTTCCTTTCTGGTTAACACAGCCAAACTTTTTTTCTCCGTGTACGAATTATTTGCTCCCATTATAGGGTCATTTGTTGCCCCATATCTACAAACTATTTGCTGCGAGTGTCTCGTCAAATTAACAAAAGTTTTTCTCCCAGTGTGTTGGAATAGGCTGGCAGCGATTAGACAAATGAACGCGCGTTGATACGGCGATACGTTTGAGCGAGTAACTCGCTAATTCTCCGCCGGAGCGGCATTTTTTACCGTTTTTCCTTTTTTTTCCCACGCTGTTCCCGAAGGCAACGATACACGTTGAAGTTTGCGCTCGTGTTGAGACGTGAATTTCAATCGGCCGGCTGTGAACGTGCCTGGAAAGTGTAATTTACGTCACGCGGGCGCCGCAGAATTAATGCCGCGTCATACATTGAAATCATTTACACGGTAGAGCGACGTAATTAGAAGAAAAGTCGTCGCGGACCACAGGCGACGTATGTAGGAAGCGGTAGCAGACTTCCCAAGCGGGGAACTGAGAAGGGAGGAAGCCCATCCGTCCGGAGGGGCTTTCACAAAACCCCATTCAACGAACGAGTGAATGAGGCAAAAAAGAGCCGCGACCCATAATTTAATTATAATTAGCTTCCGCCGATATGTTGCGTTATTATGATTCAATCGTGCCCTCGCGATTCCCCATGCTCCCTTTCCGGTGTCCCTTGCGCGAGAGAGAGAGATGTCCGGCGGGTTTCTTTTTGTTGGAAACTAGAAAACCCTATAATCAATGTTCGACCGTGAGCTAGCCAGCATCGATTGCTCCGCCATGTTTTGTCATCTCCCGCTCATATTTAATTTGATAAAATTAACGTTATCAGAATTATTTTTATTAATATGTTATTTATTTTTATTTTGTTATAGAATTATTATAGAATCATAGAATATATATTAGGCTTTTTGATACTTATGCAACATTTTATTTTATTTCATATTTTGTTCTTTCAAAATTTCACAATAAGCACACTAAATGTCAATGAATTTAATTAGTACGTAGGTTATGTAATAATAAATCACGTCCACGAACAAGATGGCGATATTTATTCAATCTGAAAAAAAACGATATTACTTATAGGTTATCCCTTATAGGACTCTTTTTTTTATACTATGATTTAACTTTGCAAAGAAAAGAATTGTTCGTTGGTATCCGATATTCCCGATCAACATTTTGCGCCCACAGAGCCCGGCGTCGAGGATCTCTCGGAAACACTTTCATTATGCTTTCGTTGACGAGTTGTTACAAAATGGAGCTGCGCATCCATCCATTTCTTCCGCTAACTTTCAACAATTATCATCACTCGGCATGTTTTTTACTATGCCGTATTAGATACTTACATGAGCGCGCGTCACGGTATACTGACAGTAAGTAGTAAACGTCAAATATTCCAGTAAATATTACCACGTAAATTTTGTAATGTTGGACCATACCGGAATTATGACTGAAGTTATGACATGTGTTATAATCTTTAGTGATGTGTACAATGAAGTACAATATCACAAAAGATTACAACATACGTCATAATTTCAATTATAATTCCGAATATAGTCCAACATTACGAAATTTGCGTAGTAATTTTTGTTACAATATTTTCTCTATGTAAGTTGCGTTAAGGAGAGATAGAGAAAGAGAGAGAGAGAGAGAGAGAGAAATTGCGAATACATGTTCCCTCCCTCGAAGGATTTGGACAAAATCACAGTTATAGCCGGACTCTAATTATAGAGATTCTATTGGAAACACAACAAATAGTCACCTACACACGAGAGCGCTCGAAAAGAGACGGTTAACTCGGGGCGGCTTGACGCAATCGCGAGAAAGAGATTAGTCGTTGGACGGTGCGTATCCTATAATTGCAAGGAGGAAAACAATCGTGGCGAGCGGCATGGAGGAGCGGTTTCTAGATCAGAGGAAGGCACCGGTATTCTCACGCGACCGTACGCACGTCGTACGTGAGCGTCCATAATTGATCGCTTTTCGCGGAAAAGCAACCTGACGGCGGATTTCTCAATCGCGATAACGAAGGGAAAAATTGCAAAACGGAGAGAAACTCCGTGAGAGACCCCGAACCGAGTAAGCGGCGGCCGCGGAACCGAGGGACAAAGCGATAATTGTGCGTAGCGTACGCGGACTGCGTGAATATCTAAGAATTGCGTAAGTAGGACGATCCTCTCGCGGCCATTGTTCCTCTGCCTCCGCTTGAAGCCCGCTGAGGCTTTGCCATAATCATTATCCGGCCATCGGCGCCGCCGAAGAGATTATGATTATCGCAAATTTTCCCCTTTGTACTCGCGATCGCTCTTGCGATAACGCGACGAATAACGCGACTTTGAGCTGCACTTGGCTTCTGTAATTACGACGCGCTCGACTCGATTCCTTTGAATTATTGAGTTCAGCGATATAAGTAGCTTCCGTTTTTTTTCTTTCCTTATGTTTCCTTTCATAAAATAAGGCGTTCGTAACAGTGTTTCGTGCTTTTCCAGATTGATTCCTCAGTGAAATATTGTACAATAGAAATACAAGGGAATACATCCTGGAAAGCAGAATGTCTAAAATCGGGACGACTTTAAGACGTTTTAAAAGATGTCTGTAAGTAAGACGTCTTATGTCCCGATTTTGGATATCGTGTTGTCCGAGTTGTGTATTAGCTATATCTCTTTGTGCCGGAAATTTATTAACGACTTAAACCGATATTATCTCTATTTACCTCCGCGATCCTGATACTGAAACTTCATAAAAAGGGGTAAGATGATCCGTTGTCAAAGTTTAAAGGTTGAAAGTCATGCGGATGCATCCGATAAAAAGGCTTGTCCGATTGAGAAGCGACGCAAGCATGTAGTGTGTGTGCTAAGCGAACGATCGTGCTCGCACCTGTTGCACCTGTCCCTTCGTGACAATCGGTAGAAATTCACGAGTATTAAGTTACAAGTAATGAACCACAAAAGAACAGATACAAATAAGAATGGGACATGAAGAGATAGTTTCATATTCATAAAGAGTAATATAACATTCCAACGCTATTATTAATGAGTATAATACTATTATTGCTTGTGTCGAATCATATATGTATAATGAAAACGGAGAAACTGCGAGATCATTTAAAACAATTTATGCGCGGCACTTACTCTCCACGGTGTAAACAAAAGCCGATCGCAACGAGAGTCAAGAAAGTGAGGAAAAGGGGATCTTATCGTTTCCCCATTAGATTTCCGTTCCCAGCACTGTTCAATTGTCTTCCGTCTTCGGGCGTGTAAACGTATCAAATCGTTAACGGTCCGTTCTTTTGAACGTTTCGAAAAACGGCTCCATAATAGCGTTCATCGACTATTAACAATCTATTAATTTTAATACAAGTCGCGTTATTAAAATAAGATAACGTAGCTCTTTGTTGCGATTAAGTGATAATTATTCACACGATATAAATCCTAAATAGCACGAAACGTCCTGAGAACGCGCTCCGGATGATTCTGCGACTTCTTGTGTTATCCGCCTGGGAAAAATGATTATATATGAATCTTGTTTATATGTAATCATGTCCATATATAATCATATATGTATAATTATACATGTTCTACATTTAAAAAATACGTTATACAAATATAATTGAAGTAAATGCTTATGTTTATGGTTGTTCGCAGTGTAAACACTTAATTCAATCAAAATATTCCTTCCGCTTTTCACTCGACTGTATTTTGATTTCGTATGGACATATATAATTATATATATATAGCCATATAAAGGCAAAATTCATATATCAATTATATATGATTATATATAATTGTATATAATTTTATATGATTATATATAATCTTTCTTTCCCGACTAATATATGACTCGTTAATATTTAATATTTGAAACCAGGTTTCGTGTAACTCGGCTATATTTGAAATAACGTTCTCATACATGGGTCGTATCTTGAAAGAGATACATATTTAAAGATTTGTTCTTTTCAGTAGCTCGTTGTATCACATTCCGTTCCTTGAATGATGTATCTCAAATTTTATATGTTGAATCAAATACACAATGAATGAAATACACTGTGAAATACACAAAGGTATACATACCTTTAAGATTCGGCCGAAAAGAGAAGGAAAGGGTAGATTGCAAGCAACTACGAGAAATACAGTTAAAAAGAACCGGAAACGCAATTATACGTCGTTCACTAGAGGGACTAAGTGCTGACATCTACTGCCACGTCGAGATATCTTAGCATCAACGATTATCAACGATTAATAGAATCGACGCCTGTACTCGATGCGATCGTAGTTTCCGCTTTCTTCACATTTTTCTAGGTGTCGCCAGTTGGGACGACCACTTTGCGGAAGAGCGGCTGATGGCTGTGTTTGTAATTTGTCATTTTCGCGATCGCTGGCTCTCTTTTTAACCAAATATGTCAGTCTCAGTTTCGATCATCCTCTTGACTGTTCTTGTCGGTGGATTGAGCCAAGAGGAATACTGTTCCGCACGCGATGCAGAGTCCTGTCAAGAAAGTGAAACTGACGCCGGGAAACCGTTCATGTACACAAAAGGTATGTTGCTCTTGCAACCTATGTACATTAACAAACTTAAAAACTTAATCTTCCATAATTTTACAATACCTGTATATACAATGCGGTATGACGATATAAAATCTCTACTATATATCCCTCTTGTTTGTCATTAGCAATAAATGAAAAATATCAAAAGTATCTTACAACAATTCGAGATGCAGAAAAAAACTACAAAGAATGCAATAACACAAAGCACGAGTGTTTTAAATACGTCATCTTGCGAGACTTAAGGCCTTTTAAGAAGAAAGGCATAAATGAAGAGATGATAAATGCCGCTAAAACCAGGTATCCATAGCATATAGTTCTTTGTTATTAATATACTTGTCTTCTGTCTGTTATTTAAACTGAAACTTTGTACAATTGCAGAGGTACATTTTACCAACTAATTAAGGGTACATTATACAGAGAGAAAGACTGTATGTTTCCATCCAGATGTGCTGGAATTGAACATTTCCTTTTAAAAGTAATCGCTAATTTATCAGATATGGATTTAGTTATAAATACTAGAGATTATCCCCAATCTAGTGAATACTTTGGAAACCCCCTGCCCATTTTTTCATTCAGTAAGGTAAGCGATGGTTTTGTTATCAATTCCGAAGCTTTTGCTGTGAGAATAGATTTTTATACAATTATAAATTATATATTTGATGTAAGTTTAGCGAAAGTTGAGCAGTTTGGAAAATGTATTTATAGACACCACAGTATTATGATATTATGTATCCAGCATGGGCATTTTGGGAAGGCGGTCCAGCTATCTCATTGTATCCTCGTGGCCTCGGCAGATGGGATCAACATCGTAAATCTCTAAATAAGGCAAACATGGAAACCCCATGGGAGAGGAAAGAGAGCAAAGGGTTCTTTCGTGGATCCCGAACAAGTTCGGAACGTGACAATTTGATTCTGTTGAGCCGAAATAAGTCTTACTTGGTAGATGCTCAATACACTAAAAACCAAGCATGGAAGTCTAATGAGGTATTATCACATTTCCACTGATTTATTCATTAACTTTACTAAATTATTAATTATACTTCGCATCGAATTATTAGTCATTTAATTATGTTAATAAACTTGCGTCATTATAAGGTTGAATTTTTATTTCAGGATACTCTGCACCGGGAGCCAGCATCGGTGGTGTCCTTGGAGTCGCATTGCGCGTATAAATACTTATTCAATTTCCGAGGTGTGGCAGCTTCATTTCGGCACAAGCATTTGTTTTTGTGCCGATCGTTGGTCTTTCATGTCGGCGACGAATGGACCGAATTCTATTACGATGCCATGAAACCGTGGATACACTATATACCCGTTTCCAGACACGCAGATCAGAAAGAGTTGGAGTAAGATAATAGTTAATAATAACGTTATAGTTAATTGTTATATATGGTAATTCGTATCTTTATTAAGTTATTCCCGAATTAATTTTATTATGTTTTCAGGGATTTAATCACATTCGTGATAGACAATGATGATTTAGCTAAGAAGATCGCGGATCGCGGAAGGGACTTTATATGGAATAACTTGCGAATGTCGGACGTTACATATTATTGGAAACAGCTCCTGAAAAGTTACAGTAAACTCTTCGAGTATAAACCAGTATTAAAGAGTGATCTCATAAAAATCGGTAAAGGACGGTAAATATATATATACTCTTTTTGTAAATATAAATGCATCTGTAAATATATATATTTACAGTTACTTCGTATAACTGATATTTCTTCCCGGGGAAAAATGATTATATATGATTATATATGATTATATAAAATCATATATGGATTTTGCCCATATATGTGGTTACAATATATGATCATATCTATGCGAAAATAATGATGTTACGTCATTTAATTAAATGTCGATATCATATGCTGTCAGAAGCACAAATGGCCAGAAGCATTTACTTCGATTATATTTGCATATAATTTGTAAACAACAATATTTTTTCGTTGTGGACGTATTTGATTATATAAGGTCTAGTAAAAAGTAATCCATTATTTTTGTATCAAATTGGAGGCTTTATTTAACATAGTTACAATGATCCGATTTAGGTCAAATATGCACCGTTTTGTTCGATAACTTGTTGCCATTTCGAAGGTAATTTCATTATGCCTCTCTCATAGAAACCCTCGTCCCTATTGGCAAATAACTCGGAAAGTCGATTTTCACAAGCTTCTCTTGAGGCGAATTTTTCACCAGCAAAAAAATTCGCCATAGACAGGAACAGGTGGTAATCACTTGGTGCCAGGTCCGGACTATAAGGTGGATGCAAAAGAACCTCCCAACCAAACTCCCGGAGCTTCTGGCGAGTCACTATCGATGAGTGTGACCTGGCGTTATCCTGATGGAACACAATTCCTCTCCTATTGGCCAAAGCTGGCCGCTTCTGGGCGATTGCTTCCTTCAGACGGTCCAATTGTTGACAGTACAGGTCGGAATTAAGAGTTTGGCCGTAGGGGAGCAGCTCATAGTAGATAATTCCCTGCCAATCCCACCAAATACACAGCAAAATCTTCCTGACCGTCAACCCTGGCTTGGCCACCGTTTGCGCCGGCTCATCGCGATTCGACCACGATCGTTTTCGCTTGACGTTGTCGTAATTGACCCACTTTTCATCACCAGTAACCATCCGCTTCAGAAATGGATCGATTTTGTTGCGATTCAGCAGCGATTCGCAGATGGAAATTCGATCCATGAGGTTTTTTTGCGTTAACTCGTGTGGCACCCACACATCGAGCTTCTTTTTGAATCCAGCCTCATTTAAATGGTTCCAAACGGTTTTTTGTGCAATGTTTAACTCCTTGGCAATCGAAACGGTGCTTACATGACGGTCGGACTCGACGATTTCCATTATTTTATCAACATTTTCGACAATTGGCCTCCCGGAGCGTGGTGCATCTTTGACATCAAAATTACCGGAACTGAATCGACGAAACCAAAATTGCGCGTGATTGGCGCTTACAGTATCAGAACCATAAACATTATTCACATTTTTAGCCGCCTGGCTTGCGTTTTCGCCTTTATCGAAAAAAAACTGTAAAATATGGCGTATTTTCTCTTTGCTGGTGTCCATCTTTGATGCGCGCTCAAACAATATTGAGTCAAGCAATCACAAAACTGTCTGAGAGGTTTTTTTTAGTACGAAATCTTATCTTTCTAACGCCATCTGGCGTAATCCTATCGGACTTATACAACGCGAGATACAGATTAGTAAAGCCCTCTATTGGAAAAATAATGGATTACTTTTTACTAGACCTAATATATAGTCATATATGGGCAAATTCTATATATGATTTTTTCTTTCCTGGGTTCGGTTGATATTAAAGTCGGTATTATTGGATAATTTGGAATTCGCAAGATTTGCAAATATGATGATATCGAACTAAGGATATCGTATGATTAAAATAAACGTACGTATTTATTAATACTATTTGTATGACAATGAAAAATATAATACAATAGAGATTTTATTCAGGGCACGACGCAGTAGCGTGGCAAGTTTCAATATGAATCATTAACACCCTGACATCAGTAGTGACATGAAGAAAGGCTTTGTACGATTAGATTTATTTGTATTATTCGATTGTTGCATCTCTCCTCCCCAGAACTGCATATCGTTAATGTGTTACATTGAATTAATTCAAAGCAAAGTAGTGTAGAAAATAAATTGCTGTTCTCTGCGGATATACCATTCAATAAATATCGACGGTACGAGGCCTTTCTTTCTGTACTCTGATAGCACTTGAGACTACGTAATCCTTAACAATTAAGTACTGGTCAAACACTTACGGTATTACACCACTAAGATACGTTTCAAAATGTAAGAAAATACCAAGTGAGAGTATTAACAACGTTTTGGACATCTGTTAATACTGGGATACAGCGAAGACGATTCTCAACGCGTGTAATCTTTCCTCGAAAATATTTCCCCCTGCCAGAGAAGATGCGTCCCCTCTGAGACGCGTTTCGAAGTGCACTTCCATCTTGTACGTTCTAGAATCTAACGCTTTATACATAAGAACGGTATATATAAATTCTCGCACACAGCACCATTGTTGTCAGAAGTCGGTCTGACAACTTGCGTACAATTATGTCGACAATACTAGCTACAAGTAGTTGCGTATAAAATTATCCGACAAACAAGCTATTATACTGGGAAATCGCGATGGAAGCGTTTATATATAAAAACGACCGGGAGATAATTCTCTTCAAACGTAACGTCGCGTGGCGAAGGAGATACCGGACGTTCGACGATTTGAAGTGGTATACATATGGAGAAAGCTGCTCTTGGACAGACATGTGTGACATGTGTACAATCTTCCTTAGCGTATAAATTACAAAAATATTTTCTAAGGCACTTGCACATAAAGATAACAATTATTCTAGCGTAATCGTAAACATAGTTCTGGTGTGACATGAGTACTATAGATAATTCATATATATCCGTACGAACGAATGCGAACGATTAGACACTGAAGAGAAAATAATATACAGAGGAGTAATATGCAAAAGATTATTTCGTATCATACGCAAGATATTTTGGTATTTACGCAGGCAGCAGGATCTATAATACTCACGTAACGTCATCATTAATCAACAAGTGTTTCTTTGACGATATTGTCAGTCAAGAATCTGATCCGGCTATATTTCTAATCATTCAACTGTCGCGATGTCTCGATATGAATCCTAAGATGTGCCATCTCGTGTACATCTCATATGATAACAATCGCACGGTCGGGTCTCGAGAAATCGGTGAGTGCCTTTGTAACATCGAAGTCTTCGCAACTTGGTGGACACGCGAATAAATAGGCAGTGTAGAGGGGTCCTGTGTTACGTTGCTGCGTGAAACTTGGGAACGTTATTCGAAAATATAATACACACGCTTTCATGAACAAACGTGCGAATTCGAAGGTCTCTTCTTCTTAACCGTGCTTTCCCGGGAGAAAATTTTCTATATATAATTAGATATAATTATATATAATTATATATATAAGGCGTCATATATGTATATATATAGGATATATCCATATATAAAAATATATAATTATATACGAAGTGGCGATACAGCTATATATGATTACATATAAATATATATATTAATATACAATTACAATTATACATATAAGACATTTCTCCCGCGGGTTTCCTCCTTCTCAGTTTCTCTCGCCAAACTTCACATTCACATTCATCTTGTTTCACGGTTAAGAAGAACCGACGTCGAAGGAGTGTGACTACACTACGATTCGCGCGCGAGTCATTTTCAAACGACGCGCTCTCGCAGCACGCGGTTGAAAGGACAGGGGGCAGCACTAGCGAGAACACAGCTCGTCGTCGTAATTTCCTAGCTATCTATACTTAATTGCGCAGAGACGCGCGAATCCCTAAACATTTAGACTGCTGCATCGGCGACATTCGATACGTTCTTTTCTTCCAACGATCGCGTCGTTGGCGCGACAGAGACGTCCTTCGTCGTGGCGACGTTTACGTCGTATCCTCGAACGGAGTCGGTATCGCCGTCGATGCTTTCGCGTCAACTTGCGCGCGCGCGTCGACTCGATATTGCCACTCGGTTGCTTCGAGATCGAGACGAGCAATCGATAAGTCGCTGGAACGTCGGGCGCCGTCCTTTACGTGGAGATGACGAACCTCGCGATGATCGTCGTTACGATGCTGAGCACAAGTTGCAGCTGCCATGCCCTTTCCGACTGGCCCCCGAAGGTCGCCGTCGCCCCGGAGCCCGCGCGATTGTGGTTCGACGACGTGACGAGCTCGTCGGTGCCTCCTGTCGAGTTCAAATTTGAATCGTGGTGGTGTGACGCTTTCTGTCACTAACGGTGGAACTGTGCGGACGGGCGTGCGCATGCGCGCGTCCGAGAGACGCGCGAAACTGTACTGTTGCGGGCCGCCAGCCTGCCGCCGCCGCCGTTCTCGTTCGTCGCTGTTGTTTGGAACTTTTATTTGGTTTTCTGCGCGTAAAATACGGGGTTTTTTTGGCACGGTATTATGCCGGTCGCGTGGGCCGTTTTCGGTCTCGCTCACTTTCTCCCGAATTCGGAGTGTACATTGTTGTCCTCTGGAAAAGGCGATTGCTCCCGGTTAATGCGGGCGGTCGGATCGACCTGCGTTCGTGAGGTGAGTCTCCTTCTCGAATTTTGTCGTGATCGAGCGACAAGCTCCGTTTCGTCGTACGTATTTAGCTCTATTGCACGAATGCACGATTCTCATTTCATATGCTGATACTTGTACGTACGTGTTCATCACGTATATTTGAAAATGACAATGAGCAATGACAGCATCGAAGATGGCTGTCTGATTATAGAATCGTAGATGAAACTTCAAACATTTTTGTCAAGATGGCCGAACAGAAGTAATAGTACAAAATTCGTATGTTACAACGAATATGGGGCCGTCGCTGCAGAGAAAAGCCGTTTCGTTGGAACTCTTGGCGCACCGTGTATTGCTGAATAAATTGGTGTAAATAATTTTTTAATACGGAATTATATGTTAGAGCGTTATATCGAATATAAGTAAAAAAAGAGCACGCCGTGAGTTTCGATTGAGATTAAATTTTCATGAAATATAAGTTCCTTGTGTCTTGTCTCTGAATCGTTTTTTCCTTGTGAAGACAATTGCCAATGTAAAATATCATAAATATACATAAAACGTTTACCACAAGAATCGAAATTAATTTTATCTAGGAACTATATATTTTTCATACGGTATAGCTTTTTGTCATTGTAAATTTAAAAAAAGATTTCAAAATTTATATTGTAAATTTAATAACGAAACTTTATGTGTATTCAATTAAAATAAACAAGAAATGAGCGTGTCAAAGTTACAAGTTACAGAAGTACCAAGTTTGTACATCGTAAAATATATATTAAATCTTTTAGATAGGAGCTTTATGGTCTTTTACGGCTTTTCTCATAGATTTCTAATTAATCGACGATCACAGTAAAGTATCCGGGGAAAAATTGCCCATATATAATTAAATATAATTATATATAATTGTATATAGTTATATATAAGGCGCCATGTATACGAATATGTCAATGTATAAAAATACATAATTATATATGAAGTGGGGCGATACAGTTATATATGATTATATATAAATATATATATTAATATATAATTATATATTTTTATATATCGACATATTCTATACATAATTATATATGAGACATTTTTTCCCGGATTGAGAATAATCAAGGTGAAGAGCACGTCAGTAACGAGAAGGAGAACATAAAGACAAAACTTAAAACTTATCAGGATCTAAGGTTAAGAAATTATCATCGTGCATTGTCCCACATTTGAACCTGGTCGATGACCCAGAGGGGGAAAAAGGGGGAAAAGATTGTGCAACTTAGAACCAGTGCATGCCATGTTTCCAGAGAATTAAATGAATTGAATCCTCCGTAGAGGATCTAATCACACGGGACACTTTGAAATCAAATAGTCGTGCAACGAGGACGTGTGTGTGGGAGTGTATACGTGAAAAAATTAAATCAACGCGTGCGCATAAAACGAGTGTTCACAATGGAGGGGGGGGGGGTGCTACAAATGTAAAACCAAGAATTTGTAAAAAAAGAGAATGAATACCAGGACAGAGAGGTAAGGGCGGAGGGGGGTCTCCCGTAAAAGGAGGTCAGTTGGTATTGTTAGAAAGGGGCGAGTCGAGACCACACTTTTATGACAGATTAAGTTCCAAACAACGCAACTGCCAACGGCAGCGGTGATTACTCATGCACTTCCTTGTTTCGCGCTCGCGTGCAGGTGCGCGCGTTCTCTCGTATGTGTACGAATTTTGAGGTGGACGCGTATGCCGGTGGTGAAGCGTGTGAGGCACGTAGCACACAAAAAGATATTCAAAGCCCCTTCCCACCAACGTCGATTAAAATTTAACCCGAGTTTGAGTCTGCTTCGTTTGAAGAAAGTTTAAACTCGGGTCAAGTTTCAATCGCGGATTGATAGAAATCCGGCCACAAGCGGTAGGATTTTCATAAACGGCGAGTCTCGGCTAATCGAGAGTTCTCGACGCAACTTTGCCAGTCTTGCACAGTTTCGTGAAAGACTACTTGTCACGTTCTTTTGTGTGCTATGATTCTAATTTTGGTACAACCCATATATGGTGTGAGTATCGATTAAATGCGTGCGATGATGCAAGGCATAGGAGAGACTACTCATGCTGAATGAAGTTTCGCGCGCGTTCCACAATGTACCGTGTCTACCGGTGAGAGTACAGAGAGAGAGAGAGAGAGAGAGAGAGAGAGAAAAAGAGAGCGACGCAGAATGAAAAGGCGCAGTACACGAGACCACAACCGTACAGTGCTGAACGAGAGCCGTCCGTGCCAAGCGAGAGATGAAAATGAAAATGGGAAAAGATGGAAAAGATTCTCTTATTCCTAGTAGAATATTTACTCTTGTCTGCAAACTGGATGCGGCGAAGGTGACACACGAGGAGATCTCTCGCGCGATCACCGTCTCTTACTTCTCAACGTCGGCGTTTTTCGTAAACAAAACTCGGCTCACACCCGCCGCCTGGCTAATAAATACTTTGCGGGCTTCGCTACTTCGCGAGATTACCAACGACGCGTGAAAATATCAACTTGGACACTCGGAGCGTAGAGATAATGGATGGTCCGTCACGAATAGAAAATGATTTCGATCGGATCTGAGGTAAAAATCATAAAAAGGGAGCCTTCGTCCTGCGAGCCCACGATGACGATGATTGACGATCACATGGTTAGAGTAAACGGCGAGGAGTGATAATGTTATGATGTTAGTAAATTAGTGTTTTACGTGCGTTTCATGTGCTACTCATTTTTAGAAGACGGATTAGTAGAGTTACGTGTACGTTTTCTCAAAATCCGAGCACGCTTCGTTAGTGGTGTGAGCGGTGCCATCTCGCTGTGTTCGGAGTCCCCAAAATAACGACGACTGTCACCCTCGAGAAGTCGTTTCTTTGTTTCTTTTTACATTCAGACCAATTGTGCAGGCATTACTTCGTGTTCCGACGTTCCGTTTAATTCCGATCGTTTCGCAACGTCCGTTCCTGATAGGATACTCGAATTATGTGACACATTTGGTAGTATTCGAAATATATGTTACATTTTTATTGTGCTGTCAAACACACGCGTTGCGTCACATCCGATTTTAGCGATCCGCGGCTCGATAAAATGCACGGGATATGTGGAAGAGCCGTTTGAATAGCGATTCTCATAATATTATTGAGGACAGATTACAACATACGTTCTAATTTGGACCCGGCTCGTTGCAACATCACGTCGCGTCTGTATTATTACGTATTGCGGCTAATTTCGAGAGATCGACGTTTTCTCCAACCGAAAGTATTGCGTGCACACAAGTCTATTCGCGATGCGTGATAGCCCCAGAGTATCGTAGTAGCCAGGTGCACGAGACACCAAAGTTTTTAATCTCTCGGTTCCTGCCTGCCTCTGCCGTACAAGCGGATTATTTGTTTCCACGTGGATTATTTCCAACGAAGTAGAACGAGCGAGATTACACTACTAGGTTATCCACTGTCGCGACACGGGGTATTAAATTTAAACGGATGCGCAATTCATCGTCGATTCGCGGAAACTTATTCACCTCAACCTTCTCGGAACATTGTTGCATTACGTTCTGAATCAACGGCAATTAGCGCGATCATGGTAATAGTGATTAGGGTAAACGCGCTGAAGACCAACGTTCGGAAAGTTTTGCGGAAAAAAAGACGCCGGCGTGATTTCCGTTCTTCCGCGGCAGTGTCAGCGGACAGTGGATACGTTTCTGCGAGGCTAGGCAGGATTCCATCAAGGTTTTGTACCTGCGTCTAAAATGATGTCGCCGACGTTGTCATGACTACCGTAATCGCTGTACATGCCACCGTCAGCTACGTCCAGATTGCTGGCAAAATTGAATGGCCAAAGCTCATTACCTAGCGTCCCTCTGTTGGCGGACTTGCAGCCGAACCACCAATACGCCGTCGAACGTGGGAAGGCGGGATCAGCGCTGTCCACCTGAGTCAGAAATTATTATTTTACACATAAGTAATTTATACGCGTAATATTACTTTTTTATAGAATTTCGTCCCCCCCTCTCCCTCTCTCTCTCTCTTTCGATTATATTTAAAAAATACATATTTTATAAGTCTATATAAAATATATTTATATATACTTATATAGACATATGTATGTTTTTTAAGAGAAAGTGTGAGTTTTGTATAATATTTATTACATATATATATATATATATATAATATAGCAATAAATTTCTCGTTTCTGTATAAAGATAATTAAAACGCCCCGTAATTTGGAGCATGATACGAAAGAGAGAATAAGGGAGAAGGTGTTTGTTATTATTACATTATTGCAACATTGCGTCGAGCACGACGCGACTTTCTATTGTCAAAATGTAGCCGTCGTCACGCATGGTCGGGAGAAAAAAACAATTAGGGCCATGGCTTACAGGAAGACGTAAGCAGTAAGTAAATTGATCAATCACAGTCGATTATACTCCTTACGTCCGAGGAATAATCGACCGTGATTGATCAATTTGTGCGTCGTTTGCGTTTTTCTACGTGCCGTCCGCTTTATTGCTAAAGCTGAAAAGAGAATATCCACTGTGTCACTTACGGAGAACGTTCGGTCGTTGAATCGGTAGTAGGCGTTGTCTTGGAAGAAATAAGTGTAGCCCTTGTAGGTCACTGCGGCGTTGACGTGATCTGGTATACCCTGCCAGTTCTTGATCAGCTTGGGATAGCTGCTCCTCACCGGTGGCTTCGATGCTGGGTCGAAGCGCCAGAATTTCGTTCCTTTGTAGAAGTAGATTTTGCCGTTCCCGGTCCACACAGTGGCGGCGTCGATGTGATCGGGGATGCCGGTGAAACCGTCGCTGATCTCTTTCGGGTAGTCGCCGTCCATGGTCGTGTTGATGTACCTCCAGTATTGCGAGCCCTGTGACGAAAATTCACAGTTAGCACAGATCTGAATTTGGCTGGAGTTGGCACACAGGCTGACGAGAGAAATCGGGGTTGACTTATTTTCATGATAAACCCCTTTCTCAAGTATCCCCCAGAAGTAAGTTTAATCACCTTGAAGAAGTAAGTCTTGCCGTTTCGATACGTGAACGCGGCGTCTATGTTCGACGGAAGCTCCTTCCAGGTGCTGCTGATGCGTCTGGGGTAACCACTGGCGACACCGTTGTCCGTCAATTTCCAGTAGTATTTACCTGGAGGTTTCATAGTCTCAGTATCCCAATACTCGTCGTCTTGTCTTGTCGATTGCCCGAGTCGAAATTTTCGAGAAACCGTAGCTCACGTGCCTACCTTTGAACACGAACGTCTCGCCGTCCTTGGAGTTGAACATCGCGTCGATCTTCGGGTCTTTGCACAATTCGGGATCCTCTTCGGCAGGCGGTGACGGCCGCGATGTCGTCCCTCGACCCCCTCCTCCTCCTCCTCCCTGGTTAGTCTTCTTTCCGTACAAAGCCTGAAATGATTTTCATGTTTTTTTATATTTTTAAGTCAGAAGCCACAAAGATATCTTTTTCGCAATATTCGCCGTTGAAGACGAATCACATCCACGTTCGAATATAATTCGTCGGGTTTATGTACCTGAATAGCGTCGATATCGTCGCGATCCAAGGTAAAATGAGGATCGTAACCGCGGTAGAAGGGCGCCATCAGGGCGCTCTTGACGTCGCTGTGGCTCAGGCCGAGCGAGTGTCCGAATTCGTGCGCGGCAACCTGGAAGAGGTTGGTGCCGCGGTAGCTTTTGATGGTCCATCGCTCGGAGTCGTCGAAGTGAGCGTCGCCCCCGTACACGGGGAAGTAAGCGTGCGCCAAGGTACCACCTGGCCCGTCGAAAGGATCACCGTCACCGTGTTCGCCTATTTCGAATCTGATTTCGATGTGTACCTAAAACAATCCCCCTCCCTCTTAGAGAAATGTTGTGCACAGAGAAAAAGGTTTCTGCCGATTTGGTACACACGCTTGCTTGACTTGGGTTTGTTCAATGTAAACAACATAATTTAATACCAATCGTGTACACAGCTTTTTGGCGCCTTAAATAACTGGGGCCACTTGTGTCGCTTATTTAAAGTCTGTAAAAATGCTAATAAAAATTTGTAGAAAATCTTGAATATACTTTGAAGTCTATAGAATAGAGTCATGTAAAAGAATGAATGTTTTTCTTTTTTTCACTTAAATATTTTACTTATTGAAAATGTAAAAAAAAACGCGATAGAAATATGAATCGACTGGGATCTATAATGGCCCCAAAGTGCACGATTAATGTCAAATATCATTTTGTTTGAACGCAAAGGTTGTTGTCCCACTAGAGTGAGCCATGCCGTTTAATGGAAAACAATAGTATTTAATGGAAATAATACTTCGTTTTAAATTAAGAAAAAAATGCATTTCATTAATTATTGTCCCACTGAAACAGGAAGAAGTCCTCGAAAATATTTCTACACAATGTCACTTCTTTCAAACAATTTATTGTTTGCGACAACCATTGTAATGTTTGAATGAAAATATAAAAGAAACATGTTGACATAAATATATTTATAGTGTGAGAAAGGAAACAATCCGTTTTGTTGAATTAAACACTCGTTTTCTCGGTTCCAAAAGTCAAATTTCTTCCAATCAAAGAAATTTCATTAAACTCGAAGAAATCTTTCTCTCTGCGTATCATTGTTGCATCCTATTGTATTACGTCATCCTGTTATCTCCAGGCTGAATGTCAGTCATTTATGTAATACGAATGTAAAAAGCAATCAGCGATATAGTAAAGGTATATCTTACATTGTCATGGTATCCTGTTTTGCGGGTGAACGTCAGATCGGTGTAACCAGACCAGACTTTGAACGCGTTCGCGATTTCCTTGTCCACCTCGGCGTGGTTCAGGCCGGACGGATACTTGCTGATTTTGTAGGTCAGGTTCTTCGTGCGCCACCTCGACCCTACGGGAAGACGCAATTATATTACATCCGGATGAATACGTTGGGAAACGGGTGCGAAGGAGCGCGCTCATGCTTTGTTGAAAAACACATATCGCCACGTTATTATCGCGCGTTTCTGCGGCTATTAGTACATCCGTCACGGCGTCGGCGCATCATAGAAAATCCGCGACATGCTGCGCGCGATCCTGCGCGCCGATACGCGGAATCTGCCGTTGATTATTATTGTGCGCTTGTGTCGTTTTGTTTGTAATCCGTAAGAATAAAAATCGAGGCTGTAGCGTGTTGCCGCGCGGAGCCGCGATTTATGCAACAGTCGCGCGTGTACGCGACAATTATGATGCCCCCTCGTGTGCCTCTTCGTGTGCGCTCCTCGTTCGTCCGTTACGCAACGGTTCGCGCGTTCGCCACGCGAGATCGAGGGGAACCAAAAACAAAAAAAAAGAACGCCGGAGGGGAGAACGAAGAATGCCATTCTACGGTGGTACGTGGGTGCGAGGGGGTTAGGCGTTAAATTTCAAGTGACGGGCATACCATCGGATACACGCATGGCCGAACTTAGCACCGAGGGTTCACTGAAACGTGAAGCGCTGGCAGGCGCGAGGTTCAAAGTCACGGTTAGTTTCCGTGCGAGAAGTCACCCGATGGGCTTTATTATTCCGTCGATATACGGCCGCGTCATTCGCGTAAGAATGTCTCCCTTGCGGGAAGTTATTCCCGGGACGCGATGTGACCAAAGCGATCGGAACGTTTCGAGTCAGCGTCGCGATGCGCGACTTATTATCTGACGAATTCCAAACGCCGGGACGATGATTCGTCGCGTATGAAAGGCGAATGTTTGACTAGTCGGTAAGTAATCTCGAAAGGAAACGCGTGATGATCGCGATGACACGTCGCGCTCGAGCAGCGAAGAATTTTCCAACGGAGAGCTCACTCTTTCTCTCTCTCTCTCTCTCTCTCTGCGGCATTTGGACCGGCCGACGTGACCATTAGATAGCGAAGTGGGCGAAATGCAACAGTTAACTCGAGCAAATTCATAGGACTGATTTAGAATGCATTTGGAGCATCCGACGAACTATCGCGATAGAGATCCGCGTGACCCGTTTAGGGTGACTGACTCTATATCAACGAGTGCTGCGGCGGCAGCGAGACGGCAGGAAGTCGGTACGGCCGATGCACGACGATACAGCAGAAACCTCGTAAAACAGGAGACAATGCTGCCGCACCGAATAATACTTCACCGTACGCGCGCGTACGCGATTGATATTCAAACTCCCGTCGTGATCGCGCGTTGCTTCGGCAATCGGCAATCGGCCGACTCTCGATTACACCCGCGTAGAAATTTCTCATGATTTTCCCAGCGTACAGCGTAGATTCCGATTAGATAATGCCCGAAATTGCTTCAATATGGTTTGTCCCACTATGATACTGAAACGAATGGAAAAATCTATTTTTATCTCAAACGTGGAATGAAGCCTCTTTTCCACGATGCTGATTGGCTGTATATAGCTGAGAAATCCATTTAATTGACTCGAACGGGATTCTTGTTTGGATATGGACAAACGAATGTTTGGATTGTGGGCACCGAAGTTTGATTCTTTGAACCAAAAGCTTGTTTCTCTGAGACGAAAATGAAAAAGATTCGGTTCATAGAACCAAATTTTGATTCTCACGACCAAAACATTTGTTCGTCCATATACAAATAAAAATGTTATCTCAGTTAACTAAATGAGTTTCTCAGTGTGGTCAGTGAGAAAAAGGTTGCAACACTTTTTTTCTTTCGATAAGCTTCGCAATGCATCTCATATCCAATTTACGAAGACTTTAGTTTTTAACAATTCTCAGGAGATATATTTTACTGTTGGATACAAAATGTGTTTCGAAACTCATAAAAAAAAGTATTATAACCTTTATGATGCTGACCATACTCTGCGGCTTGCGTGCGTCAAAGCCGTGTGACAGTTCGAGAATATCAGATTAAGATAAGAAGATTAATAATGGAGATTAAAAATAGAGTTATAATTTTAATATTACTATATGCTTAATAACGCACATGTAGCGTGTATGTATCTATACGTATAGAGAAAAACATTTTTTTAGATTTAATACAATTTCGTTAATTGAAACAAATTTGTCTTTTGAAATGTAGCAAACCAACGAATGTTTGACTCAACAAACAGGATTGTTTGGTTTCTCAAATAATAAATATCTTTACATCAAATAACGTATTTCTACCGCATTTGCATCTAAACATTACAATGGCTGTCACAAGCAATAAATTATTTGAAAGAAGTAGCATTATGTTAGAAAAATATTAAAGAACTTCTCTTTTGTTTCAGTAGAACAGTATTTAATATATATTGTGAAATAAATCTTTTTTATTGAAAATATTGTTTTCTCTAAATAATACTATTTTTTCTACTAAACAACATGATTTGCCCTAGTGGATCAATAATTTTTTCACTTAAACAAAATGACGCTTGATATTAAATTATGTTAATTATATTAAACAAATCCTAGTCAAACGAATACGTATACTAAATCCAAAGAAACTTTTTTTCTGCGTACTTATAAAGTGTAAATATTTAAAATATATATAAAATATATATAAAATATATAAATAAGTGTAAATATTTAAAATATCCCATATATTTTGTTCAATTGTAGTGTAAAATGGAAATCAGAAGAAACCTTCGGGAGAAAGTTGAGGGTCACCAAATAAGATTTGTTTATGTTTCTTATATAGAATCGCACATGGAAAAAATGTCTGGTTGCGTTAATCAAAAAGGCAACAACTAGATGCATTTTGGTTGGGTGAAACAGATTTTCTGGTTCTTATGACCCAAATGTGATTCTTATAACCAGAAATTCTGTTTTTTACCAAAACAATTCCTTTTCTGGTTAACCCGAGTCGAAATTTTAGTCTTTTGAGTCTCATTTAGTTCTACATTAAGTATTCAAAAGTCTTCTGTTAGTATTCTTTTGGTGTTATAAATGGAGAAGTTATTGCCGTTTTTTTCACTTCACGACTTAATATAGAATTAAAATTTAGACTGTGAACTAAATTCTCTTTGTAACATTAAAAGAGCGCTTATTGTGTTCCTTTGATGTTACAACTCATTTCCGTTTTCCCCACTTATAGACTTAATAATGTAGAATTTAAAATTTCAACTCGGGAATGCAACCAGACTTTTTTTTCGCATTTGAAACATTAATTCTAACCAGAATCTGCTTAGATTTCTCAACCGGAAACCACAAATATTCCGGAAAATCGGGCTGTATTCCATTTAGATTCCAAGAAATTTTCTATGCGGGTATCTCGCGCACAACTTTCGATAGCAATCGACGCTATCGGTCGATTAGATAATCGCACGCTCGATCAAACGGTGCAGTTATGTCATATCCCGCGGTGTTACGTCTGGCAGTGCGGATTGCGTTAGACTTTCTTGCCAACTATTCGATTGTTCGCTTCGACACGGCGAAATCGCCTCTGAGGTAAAGCCTCATTCGCGTAATTCGACTTACCTTGAAGAGCGTATCTCTTCGATCTCCCATCGGCTCCCGGTCCAACTTTATCTTTAACACCACACCTTGGCGTGGCCATCAGCTTGGCGGTCTCCGCGTTCAGCTCGCCTGCAAGAAGATACACGAAGTTACACACGCAACTGCTTATCCACAATACATTCCCTCGATAAATTGCACCTCTCCGCGTGTTCTCGGAAGCATCGTTCTTTAAGTGTAAACACCGATCATGTGGCGCCGGAAACGATTCTCGTGACGCCGTGTACGAAAATTAATTTTTCATTCCTCGGGCTCTATTACTTCCCGTAATCATCCCGGAGTAATTGCGTGATGGAGATAATTAAGTGGCGGGATTCTCGAGTATATTGATTCCCGAGACGTGCCGCCTCTGTCGGCCCGTGCGTGTCCCCGTGTAGCGGGCATATATGTCCGACGCTTACACGCGTGTGCGCGTGTCCATCTCCATCCCGTGCACGTAATAATTTCTTATGCATGTATGCATAATATGCATAGCGCTCGTGCATATGTGCATACGCTACCGCCGCTTTTGCCGCGGTCACGCGACTCGACATTTACGACAGATTCCTCATTGTCGTCGCCGCGATACTCGCCGACGTACGACGGAGATGACTTTTTTCCGGAGAGACCTAAACTCCCCCCACGCGCGACAAACCCACCCTATCCTGTGAAACTCGCTGGCGTCGAGAAACCCTTTTTCACATCGTCGCTTTTTGCATCGACAAAGCGAAAATGCGTCTCGCACGTCTATTCCTTTCCCTCCCTTCTTCCCCGCCCATCGTGAGGAAATTTCAAAACGTCAAGCGCATTTACATCGTGATAACGTGGTTTGAAAGTATAATATCAAGGGAAAAGTCGAGTGGGGTTATGTAATCCGTTTAAAATTGTCCGCTGTTCTTCTCTGTTTTCTTTTATCACATTCTTTTCCCGAATCGAAATTTTGGCCTTATGTCAAATCTTGAATTCTACACAGCAGGAGCTGAGATAACAAAATAGGTTCAATTTCAATTCTAATAATGTAATTTATTCCTGCTTTGACTCTGATAATGTCTCAAATTTCCGTTTCCGCTATTTTAGCGCCAAAATGGGCTCAAGGCAGCATACAAAGTAAATCTGTAGAATTAAAGGTTCAAAAGAAAAATTGATACGTGTCAGTATCGTCAAAGTAAGTTTTTATTAGTCCATAGACTATCTAAGTAGATGCAAATTATCTTTAACCCTGGAGTAGTAGCGTACCTAAATGCAACACGAATGGTCGCATGAACGTGATTCTTTTGAAATGGACATTTTCAATAAAAGAAATCGCTTTAGAAAGTAACAATATTAATAATATTTGTTTATATGGAAATAACAATCATAAAAGATCTCATTTAAAACAGATGAGAGCAGTGCCTACAATGAAAGAAACATGCTATTGTTCAAGTAATATTTACTTAATTCGAGTAAAATGGTTCCTCTAATATTCCAATATTCTTTAGCAAATATTTATTAGAAGTATAATTGATTATATATAATATTTCCTTATAAGTAGACATTTACTTGTATCAATCATATCAAAATTTATTTTTAGAAAATATTTACTCGACGGACGTAAAATCTAAATTTTAAATCACTAAGTTTCTTTAATGCAAAAGAAGTACTACACAATTCTAATAAATTCTCTTAAATTTAGAACTATTTTACATTTACATTTAGTTAATCATTTCTAAATTAAAGGATTACTGCGTTCAAGTAAATATTGATTACAAGTTGTTAAAATATACCTAAATTGATACAAATATTTTTTAATTTTGTTAGACTGAAAAACAAGTAAATAAAGAGACAATTACGTTTACTTGATTCTAGCTTCTTTTACTTGATTTTTTCCGTATAACTAAAAAACCACACTGAGAAAAAGAAATTGAAAATTTGCAAAGTAAATGTTTTCCGTGACATTTTCTTCAATATTTATTTAGAAAAAATTTGACTGTGATAATGAAATATATATTTTTATGAAATATACGTAAGTTTCCCTATTAATTTGGTTTTATTGGTTTATTTGCTAGAAATAAAATTTCACTTCGTTGTATTTAAATAAACGTTCATTATTGTAAGATCAACCTTATTATATTTCACAAATAAATCTTTAAATCTTTTTCTTCTCAGTGCACGGAGGCGCAAGATGATTGCTTATTAGTACATTTTGGAAAATGCATTTTAGCACGCATGGATGCCACCTGTTATCCGCGCGACCGCTTTCGTAGTTTAGAGTCTCAAAGCATCCAAATTTCAGCTGGGGTTATCGACCATTTTATATTCGCTCGCGTATACGTAGGCGCATCCTAGCCGTGCGGAGCACGGTCGATAAACACGCTTCATCTCGAATAATGCCGCCACCGATGGCCTACAATTTTACAGTTAGATCATTCTTCCGCTCACCTTCGGTTTTTATTAGGTTCCATTGCTTGTTCCGCCCTGTCACGGACTCGCGCGTGGTGTCATTTACGACCGACTGAGCCGCCGGTTTATTCATCTTTTTCATTATCTTCTTACACGCTTCCCTCTTTAGCACGTTTCTTCGACGGATATTAGCGCGTCCGACGTAACGCCTGACGGAGCGCGTTGTTTCTCAACGAGACCGAGACAATCGGGGAAATTTGATTCGGACACGACATTTGCTAATCGCGCTTGCGACAGTAACGCACGGTTCTCTCTCTCTCTCTCTCTCGATCGGCACGGGAGAAATTCGCGTTGTGTACGGCCCACATTTGCCGCTGACTACTTACGATACCTATTTTCCTTTTTTTTTTTGGTTTTGTCTCCCAACTCGACGTTTTGCAACGAGAGTATTTATTTTCTAAAGCGATCTCTCCCTCTGTGTCCCGCGACGGTCCGGATAGACGTAATGACTCACTGCTGAGACGCCGCTGGTACGGTTTCATTGAATTCTGAGTCATCGCCGTTCATCCGTCATTAAACGTTCCACAGGGAACTACCTACTGTTTATCACCGCGTGTCGTGTGCGCGCGCGCATCTCTTTAGGATTTCATGCTCTGCTGTTTTTTTTTAACCACACCGCATGCGACATGCGAGTAAACGCATCTTCCGTAATTCTCGATTGAATCGCCAGTGATGGTGCAGCCATCGATAATAGACAATAAACTTAAATACGGCTGGTAGTCATACGTGCAAACGCAACGCGTAATGCACACGGTCGGACTTCTCGGTTGCGGTAAATAATTAACACGGGAGTTATAACATACCTGTTATGTTAAGTCCGGCGAACGCCTGGAATTCTTCTATCGCCGCGGTCAGTTTCTCCGAGCTCAAGAAGGCACCGTTTTCCGGATTGATCGGCGGTAGATACCCGTATTGCGATAAATAATTCTGTAATGTTAAAAAAAAACCTCTCATTAACGTTTCACATTCACGTCGTTCGCGCTCGTATAGAAATCACATTATTGGGAGTTGTTCCACATAAAAGTGAGCGTATGTACGTAGAACTGAGCAAACGCACAGTGAATGTGTAAAGCCCGGTCTGCACAGCTCGCAGAACGTAAGACGCAGATCCTTGCATTTGCACGCTCCTTACATTAGCTGATTGTCACCGTGCGTTTGTGACAAAGTGCATTTCAAAATACATTGTATATTTCTTGCTTACTGCGAGCTATGCAGATTGGGCTTAATGCAGATACTTATTCTGTAATTAGAGATACTTATTCTGTAATTCTAAAAAGAATCGTCAAAACTCGCAAGAACTTATGATTAGATCCATTCTAATTCTTCTATGTTTCTACATATCGTACGATCGCTCGTAATCATCTACAATTTCTCGTCAATCTTACGGCTAGCCAGAAAAGTCGGTAAAGTTGCGGTTTGTGAATTTTATCAACGCTTCCAGCGTTGTACATAATGAATGAAAAAATAAATATTTTACATATTGGACGTTAAATTGAAGAATACAAGGTAATAGGTAATATAGAAAACATATGCAATATCTTTAATTTGCTGACCATAACTTACTTTTTAGAATACATGTGTATATACATGTTTCACTTTAAGTTAGATATTGCTCAACCTTACAACTTCTTTATTCTTTTACTCGCAACTTCCGAATGACACCTCATTAGATTAAGATTCACTTGAAGATATAAACTCGTTAGAGCGAGAATCTTAAAAATAGATTTTTATTGGTCTATATGACGCATGGAAGTATTTTATAGACATCTAATAGACCTTACCCTTAGTCACTAATTGTAAATATAGATAAGTAACAATGAGCGGTACAGATGCTAGAGTACAGAATTACGGATTACGTAAAACTGTAACTCAACTTCTTACGATTGTTTCATTCATGACTTTACGATTTTATGATTTATTTATATATTCACTTAGAATTGCGATGTTAGTTTTTAGTAGAGGAAGAAGAAAAGTGTACTGGAAGAAGAAAAGTGCTACATTCAAGTAAATAATTACTCTAATACTTCTTAGTAAATATTTTACTTGTTTTAAGTAAATATTATTTGATTGTAGCAAAAAAAGTGCTAATTCAAATAATATTGGCTTAACCCAAATAAAATATTTGCTAAGGAGTATTGGAGTAATTATTTACTTTAATGTAGCACTTTTTTCTTTTGGTATAGTTTTAATTTTTTAGAGAGCTAGACGATAATATCTATACTAAAGCTGTTGTCTAGCATTTTAGACGTCCAACAATTTTTTCTGTGATTTCTTAACGTTATCCATACGATACGTACATTAATTGATCAATAAAGTATTATTATTATTATTATTATATTCGCGTCTAAACGTGTCTAAACGCGTCTAAACGCGCGAAAACTTGCTTTGATAAACCACCTTACAGGCAAATCGGCCGGAAACGTTCTGTTCGGATTCGTTACGGCGTATACACATATGCCAAATAGTAACAACACACATGTTCGAATTCGCTGATCGTTTCTTGTTCGTTTGTCCAGTACAGTCCCAGCTTAACACATTGCATGCGGGTATATTTCGCCGCGGACTTACGCGTGTAGCGGGCGTTTTTTCGTGAATTTCGTGGGAGTTTGGTATTCAGTAAAATCGCAATAAATCGATAACTACTTCGTTTTTCTCAACGAAACTTTTTTTTATTTTACACTTAAATATATGCTCTACGATTATTAAAAAAAAAAAACCATTCATGTGCTTCTTCATTAGAACTTATTTCATAACTGCTAGAAATAGTTCTTCGAGTGAACACTCGAGAACGTGGAATAATGTCATCATCGTCGCTTTCTTCGTTATCTTGACTTTCGGAATTATTATCATACGAAAAATCCGATAATGCATCAGCACATATTTCTTGATCACTATTTTCGTCACAATGGCTCGTTTTATCAATGTTGTAATCAATAATAAAAAAAACAAGCTTCAAATTTACGAAAACACGACTTGTACGTTCTGAAGCTATTAAATCAACTCGGCAAACTGAACTTCTAAAAAGAAGCAATGGAAATCGTTGCCTAGCAACACAAATACAAACACCGTATATACTTACAATGCCCATCGTATTTATACGATACCCGCTCTGCAGCACAAATCTACTAAATACGTACTTTTACGTGACCCGCGCTCTAGTGACAGACTGCAAAAAATATAAAAGTACGTTTCCCGCATGCAATGCGTTAAGATATTTCGGTGATCGGAGCGCGTCCGCCGTCCGCCTGTTCAAGGTAAAGTCACCGTATCGCGAAATCACGGCCAGAGAGAAATCACAGGCTCGCGCCGCGAAGGTACGGCCTTTAAGTTCTGTGTCATAACGCAGCCTTGGCGAGTTTTACGAGTTCCAAAGGCGAAGTGACGGAGTCTCGAGACAGAGGAGGAACCTTTCTTATCTGCGCGTGTAAATTTACCGAGGCCCTCGGCGCGTCGGCGGTCCTTTTCGTCGTACAATTGTGTTGTACAATTGCGCGATCGTACGGATCGGAAATTTTTCGCGTGTCGACTCAGCGAATGCGTCAAACGTCTCTTTTTCTCTCTCTCTCTCTCTCTCTCTTACCAATTTCCTCCGATACACGCGTCACGTGCGTCGCGCAGCGTACAACAAAGTGTACAGCCGATTGTGTGTACGTGACATTTTTCTAATCCGCCGGTCTCAAAATATAAAGTCGGCCGACGTTGCGCAAGACGTGCTCTTCTTGCCGCGAGAAGGAGAAAACGTGTCGCAAGAACGATACGGAGCCGCAGGAGATCGTCATTAGAGCCAATTCGGATGACATTACACTCAAAGTACAGATTACCTCTTTAAGATATGACTCATCCCTTATATCGAGCACGAAAAGAGCCGTCTGCTCGGCCGCGCGCGTTCTAGATTCGCACAAAATGGCCAGTCTTGACAATCAACGATCCTCTAGTCCGTGTCGGTCCTCTAATCGGCGGGGAAACCGATCGATTTGTAGATTCGCGTGTGGATCGATCTCGCTCCCGTTCGCGCGTCGAGGATCATCGGTCTCGTGAAGGAAAGGGTCTCTCTCGCGAGACTCGAGGTATCCATCCGCGAGGACGGAGAAAAAGAGAGCACACTTGCTCGTTAATTTTTCATGAAAGCCGACAGGATGTTGGCCGAAAGCCCACCGTGGACGGTGTCGGAAGTGTAACGAAATTGTCTGACAGATCGCGCGAAGAACGAGTCCGGCATAAGTCACGCGAGAATCACCGAAGAAAGCCGCGCGTTGGTGGAAGATTGGACAAAGACGAGGGGACTGACCCGACCAACCGAGGGTTTACATTACATTATTTAACCACACTTGCGCATCGGCCGATTAATATTCCGCCGGTCGAATCGCATGCGAATGTCGATGCCATTCATCGTCGCGAAGGGAGTCGATCAATTAGCGTGTCAGAGCCTCGCGCCTTCGCGTTATTCGCGGCGTGTCTCGGTGAAAATAAACTTACTTCCCGGGAAAACCTTCCCCGCAGGGAGAATCCTGAGTCGACATTTTCCGGACCTTTGATTCTACAATAAAGTAGGAGCTGAGATAGCACAATAAGTTGAATTCTAATGGCATTATTTCTATCTTGACCACGGCGTCTTAAATTTCCGTTCTCGCTGCTTTTGGCGTCAAAATAGNATATATATTGAAATATCGAGAGCATTTGTAGATTCAAGGTAGCATTAAGGTTTGATTTGTGGAATTAAAGGTTGAAGAGAAAGGTTTTTACTAGACCAGGGTAATTCCGATATTTGTGCCGCGCGGTTATTTACGTCACAGAAGTGAGAAAACATAGGAAGAGTAATTTACCCGTAACCACTCTGTTATATGCTTTTATGTTATGTTAGTATTGTGTTATAATTTCAGTATTTTATTGTTAATATTGACGAAACCCTCGTGAATTGAATCGATTTCTCATTGTAACAAGTAAGGCAATCGTATATTACGAACTACTTAAAATGATTACTGTAGAGAATGTAAAAGGCTTAATGATTATTTTGCGATGCGTAAGTGTAGAGGGATATTAAGGGATAGGATATAGCAAAATACAGATGCTTAGCTTTTTATTCTTCTTGTTCTTTGCTCAACTTGATGTCTTGTGCATTCTACCTGTTTGGGATTTATGCCGCGGTAGACTTTCTGTAAGGAAGTATTTCGGGTTTAGTTTATGTAATAAATATTGCAAATGTTATTACATTAATGTCTGTAAGACAGAATTTTTATTTATGTTAAACGTTTATAAATTACTTTTATTATTACTTTTTGTATATTTATTTTTCATTCTCATAACCTAATCAACATTTTATACCATTTTATAAGTTACTGTATCATTTTATGTCTTATTTATAAGTATTATTTGTAAATTTTTTATATGCCGGATATCCCACTCCTATGAGATATCTGGCAAAAATATGAGAGTTGCTAAAAGTTTTTCTGTTAAATATAAAAAGTAAATATTTCGTATTTCTAATTAATTTTTTTTATAATAGTAGACAATATACAGTATTTATTTGTACAGTTTTTATTTGTATAGTTCATTTGCTTTAAATATAATAAATAATACTTGATAAATTAAGTTTTCCTTAGGTGCGGCGTATGTAATATCGGAGTTATCCTATAGGCCGTCTAAATAGGCGCAAACTATCTTCAAGGTAGTTGGTCTGTGATAATACTGTTAAAAAGGTAATGATTAACTGGCAACACATGGGGAAGCTCGAAAGACTTATGCTAAACCTATAAACACGTTTATGAACATGATTTATGATATACAGCTTTAACACTATAGAGAATATTAATCAAACTTCAAACCGTCAATATCGACCATAAATCAAACTTATATAACTCATGAAGAAATTAAAAACTCGTGAAGAAATAAGCATTTTTCACGCTTTGACATATAATATTGTTAATTAG